AGAGAATAAATCAATTACATACCAACTGGATTCGTATCAAAAAATGATATAGGACATCGAATAAGCCGTGTAAACATTCTGAAAATGAGAGAAAAAAAAATAGAAGATTAAAGTTGACAATAACTTGCTTGTTATGAAGTATTCGTCCAGCATTTAAACATAGAAGTCGACAGAAAACAGTACGAAGAAATATCAAAAATATAAGTAAAAATACTAGAGCTAAAATTAAATATAAGACAATCAAAAACAAAAACAATTTCATTCATTCAACTGACTACTAAATATATAAAATCGTCGATTTCGATGTGTATTCCATTCAATATCATTCATTCGATATATTGTATCTGTTTTATTATCTCGTATACTCATACAATTAGTCGAATTCTGATGACGATGACTTTCATCGTTACTCCATGCTGCTAACCACCAATTACTATAAATCGATATGACTTGTTGTGATCCAAATATAATTATAATTAATAGAATACCCGAAATAACACCAATACCAGCTTGAAGATATGATATATAAACTTTCCAATTAACTGTTCCTTCTTGTTTTGTTTCAAGATTTTTTGGTAATAAATTCATATCTTCTTCATCTGCATTTTCTTTCTCTGAACTTATGGAACCAACTGTTGATCGTTGATTTGATAATGAAACTGATTGTTGTTCTTGTTCTTGTTCATGTTGATTTATATCTTCAAGAAGTTGAGCAAAGGTTGATGAAGACATCAATAATTCTTCATATGTTCCCATTTGTATCATTTCACCCTATATAATACATATTCAATAATACAAGGAAAAAAAACGAAGATTTATTATTTCTAAAGATACATTATCAAGAACAATAATTTTTGTTGCATCTTGTAAAAATTGTATTTGATGAGTAACTAAAATACAGATCTTATTATGAAGATATTTTTTAATTGATCTAAAATAAATTCATTGATGTTTTGATGATGATGAAAAAAGAAACAATACTTTAATATTTACTGTTCAAAGAGATGTTTAGAAACTTTAGCATCAACAGCTGAAAGTGGATCATCTAATAGATAAATATCAGCATCACGATAAAGTGCTCTTGCCATATTGACACGTGCTTTTTGACCCTATCCAGTTTTTGGATAATATATCATTTGAATATTTTCTATTTTAAATAGATTAATGTATCTTACTCCAGATAACATAACACCTTGATCACCAACAAGTGTATTCGCACCATGAGATAATTGAACAAAATCCTATTCATTAAATACAATTACATATCATTTTGCATACTTAGTTAAATACGAAAGTTTAAAACACGTATTTATTTGCAATTGTTAGTTATAAATATAGAACAATAGCACATGCATGGAAATAGAATTTTTAAGTAAAACATATTCAATATAGGAATTAAAAGAGACTTACTATATTGAGGGCAGTTGCATGAATAATACGTTGAAATAATCTATGATTATATTCTTTACCAAAAAGAATATTACTTTTTATTGATGACGAGAATATCCCTATAATAATTCATTAATGAACAAGTTTCTACATCATAATAATAATCTACTTACATGATTCTTGTGGTACATAACAAAATGATCCATATAATCGAACTTTTCCATCAAAATAAGTTATTTCACCTGTTAATGTTTGTAAAAGTGAACTCTAAATAAATTAAATCAAAAGTGGAATTATAGTCAAATGGGAAGGGAAGCAAATAAAATGAACACAAACTTTTCCAGATCCAACAGGTCCAATAATACAGATTAAATCACCTGGATGAGCATCGAATAGAATATTTCTCAATGAGAATTTTTCATTCTAAAATAGAATCCATTATCGTTTTAGTCAGAAATGAAACTATAAGAATATTTACTTTTTCCCAGTGAGCTTGTTTTAAATTACATATAACTTCAGATGTTCGTTTTATTGAATTCTTATCAATCGTATCTATTGCTACAATATCTTTGGACGATATTGATAACAATCGATTGTCTCGTTCAGATTCATCGAGTAAAAGAAATGTCTATATAGAAAATTTCTTTTCAAACATAATAATCAAAAATTTATTTAAACGAACTCGAATTCGTTTTTGAGCTGCAATATAATTAAGAACATCATGAATAGCAAAGTTAAAAAAAGTAATGCAACATTGACGTGTATAATTAAGTAATACATACAAAAGAGTAAATAAACCTGTATCAAATTTTATATTGAATGTCCACATTGCTCCATACATCATTAAAAATATTATATTGATATAACTATTTGATAAGACCGTTTCGATACAAGTGAACATCATAAATAGAGTAGTTTTCATCACTTCACGCCTAGATATATCAATATTTAATCGATGGAACTAAGATTTTCGAGACAAAATATTCCTTTATTTTTCAACGAATTAAGCTGATCAGTAGAATCTATATAGTTGTCTCGTTTGATTTATTAGTTGCAACTGTCTTCAATCCAACATTATTTTTATTCCTTTTAAAAATCAGCTCATAACTTTTAAAATATGCGTCTAATAAAAATTTGGAATCTAAATTTGGAATGAGTACAATATTCTGATTTTAAAATAATATATTATAGGTTCTATTATCCTTCTTGATCAGTTGGAAAAGCAAGAAATAGTTTGTCTTAAAACTTCTAATCCATCCATTAATTTATATATGAATTATAGAATGATGCACATACGTTCTTATATGACGAATTTTTCTTTCGAATGCTGATTCCCAACAATACATTTTCACAATACGCATTGATTTTATAATCTCCGACATAATTTTGACACGTTCATCAGTTATTTTCAAAATTTCCGTACTAAAAGTTATGAAATTTTTATTATTTTAATGAGAATAATATAGAAACAAAAGGACAAACCGTAAATGAAGAAATAGACGACTGAATAATGGTTGAATCAATAATAGCAATAGCGTATATCCAACAGCAATAAAAGCAATATACTTAACAAAATGCCACAATAGGAAAATAACGATAATGATTTGTAATGGAGCGATCTAAAAGAAAATCATGTGATCATTCATTTCAGATTCTCTTAACAACATACCCATAAATAGTTCAAACAGTATTGAACCACTTCTGCTTTCTGGACGTCATTTGCTAATAAATTAGTAATTTGACCAGAACTAAAATTATTCATTGCATGACTTGATAGACGAAGTACCTTTTTTTGAATGTACAATAAGTAAAACTATTATATCATCAATTATTGTCAATTCACCTTTCGAAAGATTAAACCACTATAAGCTACTCTCATTTGTATAGCACACATCTGGATATGATACACGTACTATAAAGATCAAGAATAATTTATATATAAATGATATTAATTAATTAATCGATATTACTTGATGAAAAAGTAGATTCATACAAAATAGTGACAAAATAACAGCCGAAGCTGTTAACCAAGCTTGCCAAGAAAACATTGTTGAACATGGTTCGAAAAATCTTATTAAATAGATGACTAATAATGGTTGAATAACATTTAATAATTCCTATTTAAAAAAAAAAGTAAATATTTGTTATTTATATCGATTAGACTCTAAATCAATAATAGAATGATCATCTTTACTCACAAATGGAATTAATAAAAGACCAATTAGGAACAATTTCCATCCCACAGTACGTAATGTAGCTCGAATTAAATTTGGATTTTGTGGACATTGTCTTATTTCATCAATCCAATTAGCTTCTAATTTATCAGTCAATGATGTTGATTCAAGATGAGCAGGAAGATCATAAAGATCATCAAGATGAAGTGTTCCTTGTTTATGACTTTTTGTAATTAAAGCAGATAACCAACTATACACAACAAAAAATGTTAATCATCATTGAAAACAGAATGATACAATATGACTTGCCAATGGAAAAAGCGTGAGAAGAAATTAGCTTGTAATAAAGGATTGTTATTGTTTGAATTGGACGACATGGGTATCAAGGTTATATCTGTCTCTTATTTCATGATTGTGTCGCACTCTGTTTTTTTTTCTGTCAACGATAGTTGTGTTTTGTTCTCTTACGCGAACAAAATGAGGTAGCTTTGTAATACAAAGAACGAGAATGATAAGTCAATAGAATATTTCTTTTTTTGGGACCTTGTATTTCTTTATCTATAATACTTATAAGTTTAAAAAATAAAACAGAATATCGTTGCGTCAGACTATCGAATATCATACAATATTAATTTTAAAACTAGATTCAACCCAATATGATCTAATCTTATAGGAATGAGTCATGATTGCAAAATATCCAATCACAAGTGTTGCCATTTATTAGAGCATAGCTTTATTCCTTTTATTTCGAAAAGAATCAAACGTACACATACAACACCGCACCGTGCCATCTATATACATATACGACACGAACATCTGGAGTATAGAAATATATGATCTAAGAAGATGTCACAAGTATAAAGGACGATCTAA